GAACTGGTCTTCCAGGACGTGGTGGAGGGCTATCTATTTTCAAACAGACCCCCATCGACGTCAACCAGCCCAGCTTTCTCGATTTCTCAATGGGCATCCGTGACTGGTGCACGGTGTCTAGACACGGCGTCCCATGTTTGTCACTAGAGTTCTTAAGGAACTTGGCCAAAACAAAGCCAGCACAAAAATGGATGCGGCATGTTTGCTGTATTCACAGTCCCTGTCCTGGGATTTGCTCCCGAAAGATATGGAACATCTGTTGCTGGGAAAAAGCGCATGGTCGCAACTGGTCCAACTAAATAGCATTCGAGAAAAGTGGGTGATATTCCAGACCAAGCTCCTCCAAAGGCATAACTGCCAGTCGGGAGAACAACCAGGAGACAATGCAAGAAGTCACGGGATGACTGGTGGGGCCGGCAACGCCATGCCATCAAGTCAAGAAACCCTGTATCGGTTGTGGTTGGAGTTGAATCCCAGGTTCTTCTAGACGGTACTTGGGAAACTGCTAACTGATCATCCAGAATTCAAGGACCCTCCAGTTTGCCCATGAGCCACGGGCAACACGGAACTTGGTTGATCATTGGTGAGGCATGCTGTGCAACAGCGCTTGAACAAACCGGGATGCAGGTGGTGGAACAATACCTTGTTCCAACTGGTCGAAAAATACCAGTTGAGCAACAGGGCGGTACATGTAGCATTGTCCTAACTCCTACAAATGGTTCCAACAAAGCAACCTCTGCATGCTCGTCAAAACGTTGGGCCAACTCCTTGTTTCAACGCATTTAAGCTAGAGTTGTTTAAAGCAACTTTTGGCTTTCCTTGGTCTGGCTGTGAAAAGCAATTATGTCCAACCCGATCTAAACTCCCCAAATTCAAAGGGCGCGACATGGCCATCGCATCGGACGGTTGGCCCGCCCCACCTTCCAGCGCTAATTTCGGGGCCTGGATTTTCAACAAAACCTGGGCTGCTCTTCCCCTCTGAGTAAAAGTACTAACCTTTCGTAGGTTTAACGGAAACGCCTTTCAATCTAAAAATGCTTAGGGGGACCAAACATTTCCCCCAAACCCGAGGAAGCTTGCCAGCTGGACATGGCGGCCAGGAAGTCCCAGTGACATGCAAACAAAAGTAACGTTTACGTTCATTTTGCCTGTAAAACCAACAGGGGTATATAACAAATAGTCATAAGCAAATGGACATGTAAGCTGGCAAAAAGACATCTCTGGGCCCCAGAATTTGGCAAGGTGCCATCCCGCCCAGAAATGGACGCACGAGCGGCTCCGATGATACCACAAGCTTAACAGGTCGGCTCTGAGAGGCTTGTGACCCTACAAATTGGATCAGCAAATGCGAGGATTTCCTTGGGGATCGGATACATGGAGCCGCTTCTCCAATTTGCCCATGCTATAAAACTTGCAGGCGGTCCAAAGATTGCCCAGCCCGGACAAACCCCACAGTGGAAACCTGGCCGAGGGCGAGCGCCTCTCATGGACTCATTTGCCCTTTTTTGCAGAAATACTTTGTTGGGCTTAGGTAAAACGAGATGGTTTAGACATCATCTTTACTAAAGGGACCTGTGCCATCTACTTTCACCCCGGCGTATGGGGTATGGTCCTGGGTCTAGTGAAATCTTTGCAGCTGACCTTTCGCCCACCAGCGAAGAGCGCTGCAAACCGCGCCTAATCGAACTCTATGTACCACGCTGGCTGACGCTTTGGGAAGTAAATAAGCAAAACTACTGCAACTTGGAACTCTTGGCTTGGACAAATGCACTGCCCAACAAGGGATATTGCCCCCAAACATATAGGGTGACTTGCAATGTTTACTTGCAGTTTGAGGGTCCAGGTACAGGTACAACAAACTGAAAGTCTAAATATTTGATTGTTTGGCTGCGAACCAGTACAAATATGTTGCACTCCTGGTGTGGCACCTCTACATGCGAGAGCTCAATCATAAGCTGAAAAGGCCCACACTCGCCAGGGTCTGTGGGCTTATTGCCATGCTTCCCGTCCAACACTCACTTGCCTGGTCTCAGATTCAGGGAACATGGTGAAACAATCTCACCAGGTGTCCTTTACAGGAGTCCACTTGTGCTTTCAATAGGGGAAGTCCCATCTGAGAAACAAGTTTAGCCGACTTGATCCAAACAACTTGGCGAGAGGATAGAACGGAATCTGAGAAGCAAAGGCGAACGAATGCACCGCCCAAGTAATAGGCCAAAAAGAAATGACCCTCAGTTTGATGCTGACGTTGATAAACCCAACAGACCCTATCCTACCTCTAGTGCAACTGTACCAGTCCACTTGTAGACGGGTTGACAAAGCAATGGCCCCTTTTGAGAGTTACCAGCGGCCCAAGCTCATGTTGGATATTGGTACATGAATCAATTTTAGAATCCCAGTTTATCATTCCAATGCCACCCTCAAATGGTAAGACAAGAGCCCAAATAGGCCATTGAAACCAAATTGAGAATTAAGTCGTCATGAGGAAACTATTTGTAATGATAGGGAAAGGCTCTGGTGTCCGACACCAGAAAACCGAACCTCGTCGGTCCCGTCCAGCTGCACTCTTGCCTTGAAATCCAACGGATGCACTTTCAAGGTTCCACGCTGGGTAGCCCTACAGGCCCAAGTACCTTGCAAGGATATACTGCGGATGGACGAAATCCATTCGCACCACTTGGACACCATGGTTGAAACCATTGTTTGTTGTTATTTACAGGGGACTGATCATTCCAGGGTTTCTTAGGTGGTGAAGGATTTCGTCCGTCCACAATATGACCCCCTTTTTTAACCCTTAAGCACTCGCTGAGGTGGGTACTTGCACCCTCAGGGTATGATTGGCGTGCCACCTGCAGAGCAGGTGGGCCTAGGCTTGCGGGCGAGACCCGCACACATAGTGATCCTAGTGATCCCTAGTCATCCCCCACTCCGCAGCAAGAAATCGCGTGAGCTGATGCTTCAGGCTTGAAGGCATAAATGTTGCTGGCAGGCCTTGCTTTGGAATCAATTATCTATGGAGTACCAGGAGTTGCATAATTAGCGAGTCTTTGCAACACGTCCAAACCCAGAGGGTCCGGGAGAGAGAGACCTTGCAACCTGCCCACGGCCCTTGGCATCTCGACGACGTGCCAATGGATTCGAAGAACTCCGGCTGTGAACCACGCGAGTTGCTTCGAGCAACTACTTCTAGCCGGGGGATTGCACGGGAAGGCTCTGTCCATGAAATTTTGGCGCCTCACCCGTGTTGGCGTCCCCGGGCTATCGAAGTATATGAGCCATGGACAATATGTTTGCGTTACCCGCACAAGTTTGGCGAGTGATAAACCACTTGGTCAAATGAGATTTGCTGAGTGTGGGCCATGCTGTGGCCTTGTCAAAAGCATATGATGGATAAAATGGCTTGAGCATTGCACTCTCCTTGTGTGTGTGTGTTGCGGACCCAGCTGGGAACAAATGCATTCCAACATGGCCAAGTCAACTGAAGAATCACGATCATATTGTCCGTGGCTCATCCTCTCACTCCACGAGTGGACTGGTGCTTCCCCAGTTAAAATGAACACATGTCTGTTCGCAATGAATCTTCGAGTCTGTGACTCAAGTCTGACAAGTCGGGGAGTGAAAGCTTGTGATGTACTTGGACTCCAAGTAGTCACACGGACCACGAATCGTACATATGCCGCTCGATGCAATCCAGGCGCATCACCGAGCACATTGCACAGCGAGCACTGGACTGGGCAGTGCGGGGATGTCAATCAAGGGCCAACCACGAACCACACTCAAAACGACGCAACAGCAAATCGAGATTGGGTAGTTTGTGGAGATCAACATGGACGGAACGTAGATGCCATTGAACCCTCCAATGAAAGGATTCACGAGCCACAACCTTGGCGAAGGATCCGCTGACCAGCGAAGGGTCCACTGCTCATCTGAGACATGGTCGTGCGAAACAACTGTCTGCGAGAAAGTGGGGATGGAAATCCCTGTGATTGGGTCATTTGAAGAAGTTGTTTGGCCACTCACAGAAAATGGCAACCAGTCGGGTGAAAGTAGACATCACAATTTACGCGCATTCTGCCGTCTGCTTTCATGCTGGTGTAAAACCGAGTTTTGCACAAACATAGTCTGATAAGTTGCTTTCAAGCCCCGCCCTGCCCGCATCGACCTACGAATCCTACTGCGCCCGATCACTGTGCGTTTTTGCGCGCGACCGGCTGGCGGCAAATCGGGCAGGAAGGACCTCAGGGGGAGTTGTTCCACGAAAAAAAAAGCTGGAATCTCTGGATTATCAAGACAACTGAAACAAACTAAATCAATAATAATCGTCCTCGGTTGCGTAAACGAACGAATGGGAAGGATGCATGTATATTATGAATGGTTGGCTTAACATGAAGGCTGCTTGTACATTCATCTCTCATGCACTCTCGGCGTAATCGTCTGGTGTAAAAATGGACATGGTTCTCTTGAAATAAGAACCGTGTGACCTCGACAGAGGCCTTTATTGAGGCCAACACCCTTTCAACAAGGATCCAAACCACTCCAACGGAGCCCGATGATGCTTAAGGTGATCAAAACAAAGGGGTGGACATCCTGAAATTGCGCTCAGCTTAACAGATGACCCCCTTAGGGAAGACAAAATCGACCAACACTGTTTTTCTTTGTATTTCAAATTTTGTTTTCTTGGGGAGGGGGAGGGGGCTAAGAGTAGTTTGCTAAGATGCAGACTACACACACATTGCTTCTACATCCCCCGGCCACCATCATAGAACCCACCAGAAGGCCCTTTTAGTTCAACAAACAATTGTCTTCTAGCAGCCTAAAGTCAGGATCCGTGTTATTTGGTGGAAGGAGGGCCCGGGCTCCTCCCACATACCTTCCCGCCCACTGCCATAGAACCCGCCAAAAGCTTCCTTGAGGAAGAACATCTTGGACCCCCAGCTTTGTCCATGCATGTGGAGGGTAGACCACGCAAACACTTCCTCGCTGTGATGCTAGCTGTGACACTAGCCCAAGTCGTTTGCCTCCGAGTCACTGTTCTCCCTGTCCTGCTTTCCTTGCATTTCCTTGCTCTTCTCGTCCTGAACGTTCAGCCAGCACGTAATGCATGCCATGTGCACGGCATGACCACATAGAGGAAGGCGTCCAAGGATGCTCGTCCCCCTGGGTCCAAACATTTGCCGCGGTCATGCGCTATTCGTCTCGCATGAAAACATCAAAGCACAACACAACGGGCAGAATAAGATCTGTCCACATCTCAATATGTATAAGCTAGACGAATGGATTAAACCACACGATGCACACATGCACAACAAGCCGCGCGCGCATTCGCAAGCACACGCACGCCCACACCCGCCTACCCGCCCGCCCTCCCCCTCCCCGTGAGACTGAAGAAGGGTGTCCGCGGACGTCCCGCTGCAGAAAATGCTTCCAGAATCCACGATGATGTCCCAATATTTATTATATATATATACATATATTAATATATATGTATAATATATATGTGCACATGTGTGTGTGTGTGTGCGTGCGGCGTGTGAGTGTAAAAAGTAGAAAATACCTACGAGCGCGCGGCGAGCTGTCTCTGTGTATCGTACGGGGCCAGACATATCCCCTATTGTGCATTGCCCAGGCCTTGAGCCAGGGATGGTTGTATGGAGATATGGATTGCATGTGGTTCCATGCGTTGCAAGCAGCCACAGCAACAAGAAACACACCAGACACAACTTTCTTTGGAACAGCCACAGCATCCCCAACATTCAATCGCACTGTGGTATATGATCGAGTTCCATCAGGCTCTCTATGCTCTCTAGGCCCTGCGAAATTGCGCAATGGACAAGACATTGGCCCCTTTCCGTGGTCACAGAGTTCTGGTTATCGCGTCCTTACCACCGGTGGCCTTTTTGGACCGCTGGCTGACTGTCAGATTCAGCTACCTGCATGGAAGTGCACGGTGAGAAGTTCCAGAGTGTCTGCAATGAACACTTGAAAAGAGGAAAGAAGCTCATCCATGTTGAAATCACACAGATTTAACATACTCATCTGCAAATCCGCGGACGCCTCTGCTTTCTCTTCTGAAGCTCATTCCAGAGGAGTATGCAACTTGTGTTTTTGTTTTTCCGTGAGATTTGGGTGCTGGGCCTGGGTCCTGAGTCCGGGTCCCGTTGGGTTGTTGGTCTGGGTCTGCGGTCTAGGGTCTTGGATCTTGGCTGATGGGGCCAAAAACGCATTCCTGCCACTTTCGCGCAAAGGTGGCAAGAATGCCTTTTGGCCAGGGAGGGCCATCGTACACAACCCGAACCTCAAGCTGTTCCTGCCACTTTTGCGGGAGAGGTGGCACCAAATGTTTGGTGGCAAGAATGTTTGTTGGCGGGTAAAGCCTATTTTGGCAGCATCTCGGGAAGACGAGAGCGATGACGCAGCTGGTGGGGGTTGAACGCGCACCTGACCAGAAAGGCATTCCTGCCACTTTCGCGCGAAAGGTGGCAACAATGCCGACCAATGAATTTGGAGAATGGCTGGTCCGACCCCCTGACGATAGAAAATGGGAAAAGATCACTTGCTCTCATCACCTTGAAAACATCCCGGAGTTTAGCTACCTGAATCTTGTGAATTGCTGCACCTGTCTTGTCTGGCCCACTTCAATTCGAAAACCACAAATTAGAATCACGCCACGTCTTGCCCAGTTTAACTGTTTAAGTTGTCCAGTCACTTACCAGTTCTTCATACCAAACCATGCAACGATGGCGGTGACTTGGCTATCATTGTCACGTTGAACAACTCCTCCACCTCATGGATGAGCCGATACACACGATCACGATTCCCCATGCAAGTCTTCTTCGTTTCAGCAAACCACAAATGAAACTGAAAGAGGTTTTTTTGGGAAGGGCCTGCTTTAACCAGAATGTTCCCGTGAATTTCTAATGATGTCCCACTATGTGTGCAAGGCGGGTGCAAGGAGTGGGAAGCGCCTATGATCCCTGTAATTGGAGGCAAGCTTGAAACTAGCGCATGTTTGGAAAGCAGTTGTTGGAAGGTGAGGACGAGTGCCCGTGGAGCGGGTGTGCTAAAAAGAATACAAGTTTCATAGGATAACTTGGGATGATATGATTGTAGCGCCTTGCGCACTAAATCCCTTGCAGTCGACCTGTACCTTCACCGCCAACCCAGCACCATCCCCCACATCTCCTTCGCCAACATCCCCAGCATTCACAGCATTCCGTTGTCAGCTCGAGCAGTCTCGGGCATGCCCAGCATCACCAGCCTTTTGCAAACCTGCCAGCATTGGCCCAAGGAGTCGTTGAGGGAAAGTGGGCATAGCGAGGATGCTCGTGATCAAGTGAGCGGGGCTCCCACGAAAGCGGAGCAGTTGCCATATGCGGAAAGCATGGCAAACAAATGCTGTGCTTTTTGTGGCTTTCCTTGCTGTTTGTGGGGGTCAGTGGGCGCGCGGGTGGGCGGCTGGTTTGCTGAATGGGTGGTTCAATGTGGAGAGCCCAATGTCATTTTCAAGGGAAGACAAATGCGTCCGAACTCTGTGCCTGTTTATGCCCTAGGACAAACACACATTTAAACAAGACATAGAGAAACCGACACCCACACAAAGAAACCCGCACAACAAAGACATAGTCAAACAAAAACAGAAACAGAAGCACAAACAAAACCAATGCAAACAAACACACAAATGCGCTCGTACAAACACAAAGACGCAAAGACACAAACACACACACACACAAACGCAAAGAGAAACAGACACAAAATCACAAACAAAACACGCGCGCACACACCAGCACCCTCCGACTATCGGTTTCATTCTATTTTCGTAACTACCGTCTACTTGGCCACACTAAAACCAGCTGCTATCCCTTCCCCCCGACATGCAGGTGACAAGCGGTGACATGCAGGTGGCTGCAGCTGACACGCGGGTGACACGCAGGTGACACGCAGTGACGCGGTAAAAACTACCGCTGTTTACAGCGATCTACTGTTGTTCTACACGCGAGTGACACGCAGTGACATGCAAGTCCATGCGTGTCACGTGCCTGCGTTTCACAAAATTACACGCTGTCACTTGCAAGTCATGACGATGGGCATCCCGCAAATAGAAAGAAAGACGGGCCCCCCAACCCTAACCTGCCTGGGGGGCAGGGGTAAATGGAACTCTGAGATGAAACTTATCTCCATTGAAAAAACTGTCAAACAACATCCAGCAGTAATAGCCCTTTGAACCCAACCGGTGAAAATAAGCATCATGAAGCAAATGGAAGGTTTGTTCGGGCGGTTTTGGGTGGGTTTAGGGTTGGTGTATGAGCTTTGGCTGGGTGCGTGCCGCTTAGCACATGGAGTTTCGGAGAGCAGTTTGTGGCAAGGTGCTTCAAGTCCTCCAAGCACACCCCGCAGGTCTCTCGGGTTGGATGGCCTGAGCGGGACAAACCATCCCACCTTGTGTTTCTTGAGGGCTACCCCTCTGCCGACCCCCCACAATCAAAGAAAGGAACAGAACACAAAATAAGCAACAGAAATCAAAAGGCAACAAAGATGTTGGTGTTTGTTCTTTTTTGCTGGTGCATTTGGAGGGAACCCCCCAAAAAAAACAAAAACAAGAAGAAGAAGCAACATTCTGAGAAGTGGAGCCCATATCAAAAAACGCAACAACAAAGCTGTCACTGTTCTACGTATTGGTGCGGTGGAAAGAGGAACACCTCCTCAGAACAACTTGAAAGGGAAAAAAGGGGAACGCACCCCCCAAGGAGAAAGACAGCAACCACTACCCTGCGCCAGGCCACTCTTCGCCTCCCCAACCTCCTCGGTGGTTTGCTGGAACTCCTTTGGCAAAACGTCCGGTGGCAACCCGAGAGAACCAACACTCCATGCCCTCCCTCTCTTACATCTCTTCATCCCCCATCTCTTCAACTCCCGCGTCAACCCCTCTTACCCACATTACACCCGCATTTACCCTCCATCTCTTCAACCCCCCATGTGGTTCGCGGGTCTTGCGTGATTTGTGTTTTTTTTGGAGGGTTTCCAGCAGCTGATGGCTGCAAGGCCGGAACCCAAAATCCATCAAGGGAACGCTCACTTCCATGGATTGCGCCAACCCAACGGTTCGTTCGCTATGGTCCCAAAAACTGGTCCAAGGCCAAGAAGGGGGATTCTCAGGCCTTGCATCTGCTACAGATTCAGCAATGCAGAAATGGCCCGAATCTCCAGATAGGAAGGACGCAACTTGGGTTTGCGAAGAGGTTCTCCCCCAAACCCAAGTTGAAAGCACAAGGAACTAGGATCCTTCGCTACAGCACTTCCCGTCGAGAGGTCTGGAGTTCCAAAAGGTTTCAGCTGCGACTGGATAGGGTTACGGGTTCCAGGCGTTGCTGTCGATGATACCACCTGGGCATATGTTTTGGAGGGCGGGATGAAACATGACACGTGAATACATAAGGGATCAACCATTCGAATTGTCCAAACGGTGACAGAGGACACTGCACATCATTCAGCTGAATGCCTTGTTTGAGGCAGTCTGGACCTGCACAAATGCAGGCAAATGCATCCGATTTGTTTGATGCCAGAGTTATGTTGCCTGAAGCCTGAAGACATATCCACCCTCAGATCTCTGGGTCGATGGGGACAAAACCTAAGGGATCCCCAAGCAAAGGACATATATATATATATATATGGCTTTGTCGCTCGTTTCACCCCCCGCAGAAAGTGGACTTGCCACCGGCAAAAGCAAACTGGCGGATCCATCCAGTCCTTCGGCATCTTGTTGCGGCCCCTGACGCGGCCCTGGTCCTCCAAAGAGCTTTTCGGCAGCTCTCGTTGTGGAACAAATAGATGCTGTTTGGGTTGATGATCAACAGAAACCATTCCCCAAAGGAAATGCAGCACTGGGCAACTGGGAAATTGTTTAAGGAAATATACGTCTTTCACCCAAACTCACCCGAAAGGATAACACAACATGAATTTGTGTTTTGTGGTTTTTACTAGCGACACATATATTGATAGTGTTTTCACGCCGATGGTGCACCATGTGAATCATGTGTCTTCCTGTTTATATTTCTACATCTTGGAGGAGCTATACCCTAGGGTTCAACCCCCATTAAAAGAATGGTTGGCCCAATTTCAATGATGAAACTCCTTAGGAAAAGAATGGTGGTTAAATTAACCCAAATAACTTAATGGCGGTTTGAATGCCAGGGATTTCCTCCATTTGCTTAAGTCCCCTGAGAAAAACAACATTTCCAGGAGTGATAAACTCCCTTGAACATCAACAACAAAAAAACATTTAAGCCAATGGAGGATTTTCTTCTGATTCTTGTCAGGACGCCGCACCCCGGCGCGAGGGCGCTGGGGGCAGTGGCGGCGCCAAGTCGGCATCGCGCAGCTCGCGGCAGGTCATCTCGGCGTCGAGTTGTTCGACTTCGGCTTTGGGCTTTCTTGAGGGTACCGCTTTGGGGGTTGGTTTAAAAGAGAAACCAAAAGGAACACAATCATTCTTAGCAAGATTCTTGGGGGTTCCGCAATGTTGACACATGCCCATGTGGGCTGCAGAAATTGACCAAGAAAACTTAAGCGACCCAATGTATTTTGATGTGTGCTTTTTTTGCGGGTGCTTCATCTGAGGTTGGTTTCAAGGGGAATCAAAAGTAGTGCATTTGAGGGTGCCCCGATTTTGACACACGCCCACGTGTTTCCTGCTGACTTTGAACCAGACGTTGTTTGTTGATTTTTTGGGGGGTTCCCCTATCTTGACCCACACCAACATGCTTCCCCATTGGTCCAAACACGCTTGCCCTAGTGCCCATTGTGGGACGGAACCCTTTCAAGCGCCGGTGGTCAAAATGCGAGCCTGGAAAAACATAAAACATGCCCATCCCCGTTCGGCGTCTGTTTGGAAAGATTAAAGAACCACGGGCCTTCACCATGAAGGGGCGCAAAACTCTAGATTGGTTCCAGGGTCGAAATTCTCTCCGGTAGTAGTAATGGTAGTAGTAGCAGTAAATCACAACTTTGAGAATAGCACTCAAATAAAGGGGCCTGTTTTGGAAAAGCCCTGTTTTCGGAGAATTTGGTTCTACTTCGGGACCGACCCATTAAATGTGACACTGTGAAGTCGTTCGGGCACGCATTCCCCCTGAACACCGACAACGCGGATTTGTCTAAGGCGAGTCGTATTTTATTGGGGCACATAACATAACCTAAATGTATTCTGGGCAGTGGTTTTACTTTACTCATTTATGCGGTAGTATGTTGTCCGATTGTGGTAGCAGTGTAAGTTGCTACCATTTTGCCAACGTCCCCTTCGGGGTATTAAACTGGATTGGAATACCAAACAAATACGTGGAACCGCTTGGGGAACCGCAATGAACGGAACCATCATGATGAAACCCTTATGTGTTTGCACGTTCGACCAGCCCAAGCATGCTGACGAGACTGATATGATTGAATTTCGCTTCAGCATCCACCATCCCTACCGCTTTTTTTGAGGGATTGTGACCGCACATGTTTGCCACAGGCGCAACCTGCAAGTCTTTCATCGATTTTCCAACAAACACTTCCAAAGACAGGGGAAACCGCAGGTTCACTGGAAATCGCGGGATCGGGCGCTAGCCCCACTGGAACCTAGGGTCACCGAGGCCGCCCAAAGGCCCCTCTCAAATGGCCTGCGCAGAGAGCGCCTTGATGCCAGGCGATGAGGTCTCGGAACCGGCCGCGGGGTGGGCTTCCGGTTGATTTTTGCTTGAAAAGCGCTGCCCAAGTTGCTTTGACCCATTTTACCACCCATTGTCCGGGATTCGGAGCGGTCGTGCGGAGGCTTGGGGCTGCTTTCCAAGTTTGGTTCAAGCAACCAGTCTGATCCCCAAGCCAACCCAAACCTCCGAAGGACCAGTAAGGGGAAAGGTGATTTCGGGGTGAAGTTCCTATGTTGGAAGCTCGGGCTTGAAATGCGGACACCTCCCAACATGGGTGACGCTCCTTGTGCTTCCCTTGAAGCAACTCGCCAAAACCCTCCAAAAGCGAAACACGCACACAGAGCATGGGGAGGCGGGGAACGAAGACCATCTAGCGAATCCCCCCATATGTCTCCCAAATTGGCAAGTGACTACTGCATATCTCAACCGAGCCTCGCATGATTTTATGCTGGACTGTACAGTGGTTCAGATTCAAAATCAGACTGCTTCAGTCACGTTGGAATCCTTCTTGCCAGTCAGGGAGCCCGGACTTCAGGGGGTCTGGCAAATCAAACCAAATGTAGTCTGCCCCGACTGAAACACGAGGAAGCCTGTACTAAGACCTCTCGCTAAGATTGCCCTCTTAGTGTTCCCCAACCCTAATCTGCGTCCCCCCTCCAACACCCAACATGACTGGCTTGCTTTTGGTGACCCTTTTAAATCCACCCCAAAAAGGCGCCAGCAATACACACCCAATGGCACATGTTGTGATTCCATGCTCCACATTTTGGACCTAACATTCGCACACCCTTCCCCGCACACGCTAGGAATCTATGGTGCCCACCCCCTCGGCTTGATGCGAACTTGTCAGAAAATGCCGCCAGAAATTCCGAAATTGAGGGTCCATGTTCAATGTTTGGATGTTTGGCTCTCCATTGCATGCTTTCAGAACTCATCCAAACAAAATTGCCCCATGTTCGAAAGCACCTCAGGTGCGCCCTGGCCATCATCCACTATGGCTTTGCGGCTGCTTGACCCTGTATGTTCTGAGTGTTTGATTGACCAATCGTGGAAAACACCCCTCGGCCTTAAGGGGGAAGGGGGGTGCGGGTGTCTCCAATTCCATTTTTCAGTGGGCCACCCCCTAAAAAGGGAATTGTGTTGGATTGAATCCGATCACTCTGGATGGACGGTCAGTCACGACCACCCTGAACCAATGGATCCCGCAAGGAACTTTCGTCGTAAGCTCGCCCACCCTTTTGACGTCGCGGATAAATTGTCGCATTTGCAAGGGAGACAGCCAAAGGGCCCTTTTTTGCAGGAAAGGTTGGTAGAACTCACTTAGAAGAGAGGCAAATGAGTTCCTTGATTTCAGCCTCGAAAACAGAGAACCTGGGGCCCTGAAACACGCCTCTAAAATGGGAAATCACCGCATTGTTTTGGTGGAATCACTTAGTTTGTGGGTAGCTTACATGTTTAGTTTGTGGATCTATAGTTTAAGTTATTCTTGTGCATGTGCCAGCTGGTTCAAATTCTGGTTCCCCCATGGATTCAGCCCCCCTGCCTCAAACACCTCGTAGTTCTCATACGGGTACATCGCGATTCAACGCGGAAACCCTCGCGCCGGTCAGCCTCCTTGGAAAACACCTGACACACGGCGCGTTGCAAAACGGGGGCACCTAAAAGCGTGCAAGGCACGCAGGTGCCTTGAGCCGCGAGAAAGCGCACAACAAAGTGCCTTCATTACGCACCCTCAAACTTCCCTTTACAATGGGAAAGTTACTCCATATTGTTGGGGCGATAACCAAGCTTCATTGAGGGTTTAGGATGGAATTTGGCTGACAAAACGCATTTCCTAAAGGAGCTCGGGTCTATGACGCTGCGCCACGCGGTGGTCAAAGGATTGATTGAAGAGAGCGCTGACTCATTTGGGTGTTTTTAGCAAGCATACATGGTGGCTTCTCCAAATGTTGGAACCCCTTTAAGTGGGCTTTAAAAGGGACGCATGGGACGCCAAAAAGCAAAACAGCCATTTCGGGCGACCACTTTGTGAGGCTTGGCCTTAGGGTTCGAGTGACGCTCAGCAATCGCAAAGCGATCCTCCTCGAGATCGCCATCAGCGATCGTTCGACGTCACCTGGCGGAAGAACCGGACCCTTGAGGGGTCAGAACTTCTCATGAAGGCTTGCCCACTGATGGACGCCAGTTGGGATGTGGAGCCCGATTTGAGCACTGGTTGATATAAACCACCTACAGGTCATTCGTGCAAAACAGATTGGTCAAATCCAATGGCCAACCCCCTTTTTTTCCGTGGGCCAAGATCTGAACATCGGCTCAAATGCGACCCTTAAGGGGCTGCGCCATGGGATTACACCTGAAGAACCCAAAAACTATTTCATCCACAAACCCGAGAAAAGAGGACCATGGGGCATTTCAAGGGCTAATGATTCTGAGTAAAAAAGGGTGTTCTTCGATGCTTCTCCGGCAGTTGCATTTAAAGTTTACCCTCCCACCCACCAACAAACATCGCTCAGCCTGAGCTCCTGGAACTGTCCCACTGCACCTACAGATTGAAATGCGCCTCAAGGCAAATTCAGCCACCTGCAAACTACCTATAAAAATTGGGTACCACACACTTATGGTGTCTTGTTCTCATTTGGTTCAGAATCGTTGCACAGTTGCTAACAAGATTTGGGGAAGGGGCGCCACGTAGGTTGTGCCTCGGGCCTGTCCTGCGGAGAGTCTGCGTGCGGGCTGGCTTAGCTGGACCCACGAAGCATACTCCCACACTTAAAGCTGTTAAAACGGGGTGAAGTGCCTCCTTAGAAGGGAATAGGGAACATGGAACCGACCCTTTCGGAACTTGATCTGATCTTCGAAATGTGTACCGACCGGGGTGGAAAAGAACACCCTTTCTGGGAGTGAGTCCATTTTAGTGGGTCCCAAACCCACCAAACGGAAAAAGGAATTGAAAGGTGCTACTGAACAACTGGTAGGTTTGCTGGAAGCGAGCTTGAGCACGCTGGGAACCCCAAGCTGGTTGCAAACGCATTGTTCTCATCTTTCTGGTTGGTTTCAAAAACAACGTACACATCCAGCCAAATTCTCTCAATGGATCAAGAATCCTGACCCCCTGGTTGGGGGTAATGGGAAGGTCTGATTCCGGGTCCGATCGCAGAAAATGCAGCCACCCGTTGCAAGGTGGGCACTCATTCGTTCAGCTAACCTGCTTCTAGTATCTCCAGTATCCCAACGGACCTCCAATGGCTTTGACTGCGGATTTGGCCCAGTTTCTTGGAGGGGCAGGTAACTAGACAATTGTTTACCCCTCTTTCCGGCCATAAAGCGGCACCAACAGGCATCGCTGCTTTTTCTCTCCGGCAGGTCCCCAAACACAAGAGCTCCACTCCCTGCCTCGAACACCCGGATATGCATCGCTTGCCTAGCCGAAAACAAAAGGCAGCCACGGTGTCGCAAGGAAACATCGTGAAGCGAGCCAACTTGCGGTGTGACGTATCGAAACCTCTCTCAGTCCTCTTGAATGCCAGAAGACCCTCTTCCAGCACCGTACCCTCTTGATCCCCATAAATGCATGTAGGTTTGAGGGTTCTGCGGAGCCTGAAAGCGGTCACCGCACGCACCTGGGGGAGTGCGCGTGCGGTTCTTTCTCTCCGCATGTGCCAGGCTTAAATGGCCTCGAGGAGTCGATCTTCAGCTCTGTCGCTACCCTTCTCACCTTTGGGACATCAAAAGGAAAAAACTACTAAGATGTTGACCCCAGGACGCGTGACCTGATCTGGTGGTAAAGCACCCCAACAACTCGACAACTGCTGAAAGCCCTTATGCGACATATTCGAGCCGGGAAGATGGCAATCTCAAGGCATGGCTTGATGCGGACAGCACAATTGGTGCTCACAGATCTCCAAACTGGCGATGGACGTAAATAAGAACCCCCTTGGAGCATGAGTCTACACAGTCCTCCGCAAAATCCGCCAAACTTCACACCCGAGTAATGTCAACATTGCTCTTGTGGGACCGTGATGACAGTTTCGTGCCGCCTTTTGGCAGGGGCTCCAAACCGGAGTTGGCTATTCGCCTCGCTGATCTTGCCGCTTTGGGCTTAGCTGGCGAACCCTTCGATCCCTGCTCCTCCCATCCATCCTGCGCCTCGTCGAAATGAGCAAGCACGCGAGAGCACAACCAGGCCTTCCAGTGGAACACAAACTGAGAAAATGCCTCCTCTGACGCGGGAAGAGTTTGGGGCTGGTCCAACATTACTGCCCGGCCGTGGCCGAAGCCAGAGTGCGCCGACCAGGATTGTCCATATGTATTATGTGCTATCTGTTGAATCTGTTGTAACCATTCTCAAATAATCCAGAAAATGGCGAGAAAGACATATGAAACCATTCGCAGCACCAGACTTGGATCCGGCTTGAAATCCAAGGAGTCTTACGGAACTGGGGGATCTGGGGATCTGGGCGCGTGGCAACACCTCGAAGCTTCGCCAGTTCTCCCTTAAATGGCACAAGGCGAAGAAACGATCAGAAGATTCGGTAAGCAGACCTGAAATTCCAAGAGCCATTTTTTCGTAAACCCCGCGGAGGCAACTCGCTACTCGTTTTCAGCAAGCAAGGCGACTCAGCACAAGTCAATCAAGTTGAGCCAGAATCAGGCTGCTGTCAGCCCCATGTCGCGGATTGCCCCAAGTCACCACAGAGCCGTCCTCCAATATGGCAGCAAAGGCACCCTCGGTTGCTTGGATCTGCTGCACCCCCGCCAACTGCCCCTGTACCTGGCTGCTGTCACCGCCATAGGCAGAATCGCCCCAAGTAACCACAGAACCGTTGTCCAGGATGGCAGCAAAAGCAACTTCTGTTGCTTGGATCTGCTGAACCCCCGTCAACTGCCCCTGTATCTGGCTGCTGTCACCGCCAAAGTCAGGATCGCCCCATGTCATCACAGAGCCGTCATCCAGGATAGCAGCAAAAGCACGACGTGTGGCTTGGATCTCCTGAGCACAAACCAGCTTCAGCAGTGCCTCCCGTACCTGGCTGCGGTCACCGCCAAAGCCAGAACCGCCCCAAGTCACCACAGAGCCGTCGTCTAGGATGGCAGCAAAAGCACCCTCAGTTGCTTGGATCTTCTGTGGCCCTGCCTGCAACTGCTGTCTCACCTTGCTGCTGTCACCGCCATAACCAGGATTGCCCCAGGTCACCACAGATCCGTCGTTCAGGATAGCAGCAAAAGCACGATGTGTTGCTTGGATGTGCTGAACCCGAACCAACTTTTCCCGTACCTGGCTGCTATCACCGCCAAAGCCAGAATCGCCCCAAGTCACAACGGAGCCATCGTCTAGGATGGCAGCAAAGGCACGCTGACTTGCTTGGATCTGCTGGACCCGAATCAACCGCTCTCGCACCTGGCTGCTGTCACCACCACAGGCAGGCTTGCCCCACGTCACCACAGAGCCGTCGTCCAGGATGGCGGCAAAAGCACTGTGAGTTGCTTGGATCTGCTGAACCCGCGCCAACTGCTCTCGCACAAGGCTGCTGTCACCGCCAAAGTCAGGATTGCCCCAAGATACCACAGAGCCATCAGCCAGGATGGCCGCAAAAGCACCATGAGTTGCTTGAATCTTCTGAACCCGTACCAGCTCATCTTGCACTTGCTTGCTGTCACCGCCACCGAATGTATTGCCCCAAGTCACCACAGAGCCGCTATCCAGGACAGCAGCAAAGGCGTCCTGGTGCTGAATATGCGGTCTAGAAAAATATCACAAAGAATTCCCCAGATAGGGGTTCTAACTTCTAATAAAGAGGAGAAAGTGATTTGCGAGATTGACGGCAGGGTGCTACGGGGGCATGCAGTTTGGGATGCTGGTGCAGGTGCTGTTTTGGGTTGCTGCTTGTGTTAATAATTGTGGTGCTGTTTGAGGTGCCGGTGACTGTGCGGGGGCAGTTTGCAAGATTGACGGCCGGGTGCTAGGGGGCCATGCAGTTTGGCAGGTGCTGTTTTGGGTGCCGTTTGGGATGCTGTTGGAGGTGCTCTGACGGTGCGCGCATTTGTGCGGCAGGCATGCAGCTTGGCTTGCTGATGCAGGTGCTGTTTGGGGTGGTGCTGCTGCGGGCGCATTGTTGCTTGGGGTGCTGTTCAGGGTGTTGTTGGATGCTGGTGACGGCACAGGCGCGTTTGTGCAAGATTGATGGACGGCAGGGCTAGGGGCTCGCAGTGTGGGGTGCAAATGCAGCTTTCGCTATCTGGGGTCTATGCTGGTGTCATCGCTAGCTGTTGGCATTCCTTCAGGTAGATCGTCATGAGCTGTTCAGCACCCAGCGTCCTGAGTTGCTTGGATCTGCTGCGGCCGCGCCAACTGCTCTCGCACCTGGCTGCTGTCGCCTCCCCATCCTGGACGACCCCATGTCAGCGCAGCTCCTCGTGGGTTTCCTATTCCCCCTAACATCATCCTTTCCAAAGAAAACCCACCTTACAGGGCCCTGAGAGGTGATCTTTTAACATGCCCGCAAAGAGATTTCTAGTGGTCTCAAAGTAGGGGGAAACCACCAAGAAAACAACAACAACAAACATAGGGACCAGGCCCTGAACGGGCGAGAAACCATTATGCACAAAATCATGAAATCTCCTGTATACCCAGGGAAATATGGGTTTATATCAGAACAGGAGTGCTGGTTGTCCTTTCGTTTTTCCTTGAAATACCAAGCCAACATCCCTATGTATGCGGGTAACAGGGGAGGGGAAACAATCATGGGCACCGTGGCAAGCCGCTGAACAAACGCGAAACTCTCAACAAAAAAACTGATCCACTGTGAAACGTCCACCAACAGGGAACTCCATAGGACAGTCCTCCAGATGCGTAAAGAGCCCATGCCTTCTTAGTGGAGGCCACATGTACGGGCAGCACCACGGCTTCTAGGCTGTCCCCATCTTGCACACCCGCCTGGAACGGCCCAGGTATTAATACCAACAGCGGGAACCCCCACAGAAGAGTTGTTGGCATAGGTGTCCTTTGGGACAATAGATGGCCTTGGTAGATTACGAAAACCATCAACCGCATTCATCAACCATAACAACCAACAAGGACACCTACGGTTGTTACCGTTGGGTGGAACATTCTTGTGGGTCCATTGGTATCTCAGGAGGTGCTTTATCCCCAAAAAGCCGTCGGGAGGTACTTCCCCGTAATATGTCCAGGTATCCCCAACGTTCGAACTCGAGATCCCAAAGCTTTCTGCTGGGGGAAAAAAACAGCCCCAACTCAAATTGGGCCTGTTGAATGGCAAACAAACGGGCCAAAAGGGAACCAAAAGAAAAGGCTGCTTACACAAACACGTGGTTTAACCCATGTGTTCAAGGGAACGCACTGGTGGTTACACCAGTTTGGTGGTTTTGTTCACCATGGTTTAGGCAAGGCGGGATTCTGGCCTCACTCAAAGTGCAGAGTGGCTCCAACAGCTGACCTCTGTAAGTGAGCCGCAGAAAGTGGCGCAGCTGCCGTTGCGCCTCGGACTTGACTTCGCGGACCCGCGACTCGGGAGACAGCTCCAGGGAGCAGCTCGTGCCGCTCGGCAAGCTCACATGCACGGCGAGCATGGCCAGTTTTCTCGCGGCTTCGGCCAGAAACTCGCGAGCAAATGGGCAAAGCGCAAAGCGACCGCAAGATAAGCCGAAGCCCCAGAAAAAGTGGTTAAAGCCTTCATAGGGAATCTTGCGAAACTTTCTGCAAAAATGGCACGAGGAAAATCTCTGAAGCTTTCCGCACCTGTTGGCTGTGAAGCAGAGGTCCATTGATTGCGTCCCGTAATAGAAAGGTCCCCAAACCTGGTGGTGTCCCTTCTGCTTGTATTTAAGCCCACCAAACCCGAAATTGGGGTGGTTAACGATTTTCCCAATCCTCAAGTAGAGGACCTTCATCATGGTCGAGCTCATTTCCCCAGCCCTTTTCAGATGTGTCGCCAGTCCCATCCAAGATCTCTTCGCCAAGGTTCGTTTCTCCCCAGCGTCAATTCCTCGCACTGTACAAGCTATGTGGGTCAAACCGCAGTGAAGCCACCGACAGTATGGTCAGTTACGACGCTACAAATGTGGCGGGGGCACAGCATCGAAAGCCAAGACATCGGCCTTTGGCCTCTGGGATCCGTCCCCTTCGGCAGCTGCTGCGAGCCAAGTGCGGCGGGCCCGCCCAACTGCCTCCGCGCTCGGATTTGGCCCTGCCCTCCTGGGAATTCCAGGCGTTGTCACAGACGGACAAAGCGGAGGAGTAAAAGGTCGGATCATAGGTATCCCGGCACCACTGCCAGACATTCCCTGCCATCCCCCGAAGCCCGAAGCTAGAGACGCCCCTGGTGAGATTCACGGGGTCCATCGGCAACTCTTGAAGCTTTGCGTCGGCGAGTTCCAGAAGTACTCGCTGGTCCCAGCAAACATTCAGCAATGCCGCGTGCAGTGCTTCACCCCAAGGATAGGACTGAGGCTCTGTTCCTCGGGCTGCATATTCCCATTGTGCCTCACTTGGGAGGAAGCTCTGCCTAGCCCTCTTGTAGTCATGCCAATCCTCACCATGTGCCCATAAGGAATATGCGTTGGCACCATACCAAGAGACCAGGATCATCGGCCAGTTGGGAAGCACGTCTTCTTTCACATGCCACCTCTCATCACGTCGCACTATCGGCGAATGGCACTGCCGCATGTCACCCGGAGCCAATACGCACCAGTCCAGTAACTCTGCTTGGGTGGGTGGAGGTATCAATAGATTCAGAAACCGGACATAGGCTCCCACGCTCACCGGCTCGACATCCATGAGGAAACTGGTCAGCTTCACCAGGTGGGTGGGCTGTTCGCCCCGTTCAGCTTTTTCCAAGGTGCCGCCACCAATACGCACCTCTGCTCCCGGGATCAGCAGGCATTCCATGCCATCACTTCGCCGCTGAAAGCGGCCATCTTTTGTGGAGAAGTGAAAATCTCCCTTGGGGCAGTGCAAAGGATGTAGACAAGCTTGGCTGTGAGTGTCCAGCAGTTGCGTGAAGAAGACCAACTCAGGTGTGCAAGCCCCCGCGGGAATATCCTTTTTGCCCGGAGGCAATGGATAGATCTTCACATGCTCGGGCTTCAGGCTTTCCAACTCTAAATCCCTGTCACCACGATGGAGAGCCTCTGAGATCTGTTGAATGCTTGGGAATTCAAAGAAAAAGGACGAATGACCTTCTATCATTGGAAACTCCTTCTGCAGCTCCGAAGCAATCGCCACCGTAGTAAGGGAATCCACCATTCTCACGATCTCGTCAGTGGGTTTGATGGCGAGGCACTCAGCATTCACATCATAATCCATGTCCAAAGGTGGACAGTGGTTGTAGTGACCTCGGTTGGTCTTTGAGCCCCTCCAGAAAGCAAAACGCTTTGATGGCTAGTACAAGGGCAACCGTTTTTTGGAAGGACAAAAGGTGCACAAGTTCGTAGGTAGGTGGCTTAAACCAGTCTGGTTTCTGTCATTCAACCTACCAAAAACTAGCCGTACGAATGGAACCCCGGGATGAATACACCTTCCCGTGCCCCCTTTACTGGGATGTCTATGAGCCCAACGTGCAACCCAGCCACCATCGCAGATGAGGTGGTTGACGGCATGTGAGACCCGCTTTAGGACCTCCTCGAAGTCCATGGCGCCAGGGCAAAGCTTTGCCCCGGATGCGAACCCCGGCTTCAGCGTCGGTTTTTTTTTGGGGCCCATGGCAGGTAACATCCCCGTGTCTTTGTGAGAAAATTCGACGGATCTCTTTCTTTGTCCATCGCAAATAGGCCCTATAAGAAAAATACAGACTGAAATTGCCCCTTGATTCAGTTTGCAGGCAAAATCAAAAGGTCAACCTGCGCGCTACCAAAGGCTTAAGGCACCATAGCCGTGCCTTGAGCCGCAGGAAGCTGCGAAAACGTCAGCAAGCACACGCGGTGGCAACAGCAACAAAACTAGAAATAAACAAACCCAGCTTCAATCTAGAAGCCGAATGCCAATGCGGAAGCAAAGCTGCTGGCGAATGTGGCGGCCTTTCAGCGGATGCCTTTTGTTGATGTCTTCAAAGTGGAGCCAATCCTAATCCACTTTTCAATCACAGGAACTGCTGGCAAACAAGGCGTTCTTTCCTCTAGTCACCTTTGAACAGCCCAGAAGAGGAACATTGACCACCTGGAATGGAAGGCATGGCTGACGGATTCCAGTAGATGGAACCCCTCTGGAGCGAAGCGACAACAAAACAGCCGATTTGACGCTTAGATTGGCGGTTCCCTTTGGCCGGCTGGCAACCCAACCTCTCTAAGGCTCATGACCCCTCCAATGCAGGCTTGCCAGGCCCTCCAATGAAGAACCCGGACCCCTCAGGGCGCTTGAAAACAACCCAACACTTGTGACATCGTAATTTATTTGTTCCAAGGAGTGGCGCAAGTTACTCAGCTGGGCTTGGTTCATCTGCCACACGAAAACAGTGGCAGCTGGCCTTCCTTTTGGGTCCGTCGACTTCTGTCTGAATATTGCCAGCCAATGTAAGCAATAACGCACAAACAGAATGCAGGACCGGCGTTTGGTCTCACAACCCGTCAAATTGAGTCTGAATCCGAGTGCTGTCACCGCCACAACCAGGATCGCCCCAAGTCACCACAGAGCCGTCCGCCAGTTGTCAGTTGCTTGGATCTGCTGGACGCTCACCAAGTTCTCTCGCACCTTGCTGCTGTCACCTCCACTACGAGGACAGCCCATAGTCACAACAGAGCCGTCCGCCAGGATGGCAGCAAAGGCATCCTCAGTTGCTTGGATCTGCTGGACAGCCACCAACTGCTCTCGCACGTGGCTGCTGTCACCACCAAAGGATTTGTTGCCCCAAGTCACCACAGAGACATCGTCCAGAATCGCAGCAAAAGCAGTCCGAGTTGCTTGAATCTGCTGGACGCGCACCAACTGCTCTCGCTGCTGTCTCCGCCACACGCAGGATTGCCCCAAGTCACCGCAAAGCCGTCGTCCAAGATGGCAGCAAAAGCTTCAGAACCTTTTCGGATCTGCTGGACGCTCACCAACTGATCTCGCACCTGTCTGCTGTCACCGCCAAAGCCTGGATTGCCCCAAGTCACCGCAGAGCCGCCATCAAGGATAGCAGCAAATGCACACCGGGTTGCTTGGATCTGCTTGACGTGCACCAGTTGCTTTTGAACCTGGCTGCTGTCAGCCCCATTGGCATCCAGGCCCCAACTCACCGCAGAGCCGTCGTCCAACAGCGCAGCAAAAGCAAAGCCAGCTGCTTGGATCTGCTGGACCCTCACCAACTGCTGTCTCACCTGGCTGCTGTCACCGCCATGCCCAGGAAGGCCCCATGTCACCACAGAGCCGTCCGCCTTGATGGCAGCAAAAGCATCCTCAGTTGCTTGGATCCGCTTGACCTGCACCAACTTCTCTCGCACCTGGCTGCTGTCACCGCCATGCTGAGGGTGGCCCCAAGTCACCACAGAACCGTCGTCCAGGATGGCAGCAAAAGCAAAGCGAGTTGCTTGGATCTCCTTCACTCGCACCAACTGCTCTCGCACCTGGCTGCTGTCACCGCCCAAGCCTGGATTGCCCCAAGTCGCCACAGAGCCGTCATCCAGGATGGCAGCAAAAGCTTGAGAAGCTGCTTGGATCTGCTCGACCCTCACCAACTGCTCTCGCACCTGGCTGCTGTCGCCACCATTGCGATGACTGCCCCATGTAAGCGCTGCGCCTTCAGTGACAAAAAGTGCAAATGCTCCACGTGTGGAAACTAGGTTGACAGGCTGTACGATCGCATCAATGCTGTCCCCATCTCGGATTCCCATCTCACTCAACGAATTCAACTCATCCAGCTGCTGACCTCTGAAAGCAAGCCTCAAAAAGCGGCACTTCAACTGCTGCTGCGCCTCAGTCTTCACATCGCGCACACTCCATGCCGGCGACAACGCAATAGAGCAGCTCTTTCCACTTGGCAAGTACACGTGCACTTCCATAACCACCGTCGAACTCTGGGCCGGTCTGACGGCAACGCGTTGCCAGCGCTCTTCAGATCACTCGACTCGAGGGGCCACGGGCAAAACCCACGTTGGCCCAAATACGGCCTGAGGCCCTTCTCTGTTTGGGTGTTTCATTGAACCCGTCAGTTTTCCTTTTGCTAGTCAGGATTTGCCACAAACCGAAAAAGGCATTGGGGTCGTTACGGGGGTAAGGTCAAGCTTAGACCCTTTTTTGCCTTTGAATGGTCCTCACCCAAAGGCTCATGGCTTCGAGGGCAGCAAATCAAAGGACACGAAGGGGCCTTTTCAAACCCCAACAAGCACTTCCTCCAAATCAGCTGGGAGATGTGATGCTTTCTTTCCTGTCCAAGTACATGGCCTAGTCTTAGAGGGCTAAGAAGGAGTCTAGAGACCTTGCAAGGTACCCTCACCAACCTGCATTCCACACACTGGCCATGCCAAAAAGCTGCTAGTGGAGAATTTCCAAGGTAGCATCCGAAAATGAGACAAAAACTGGACCACCCTCCAACTACCCAAAGAAACAAATACAAATAATCACCACCACCACCACCACCACCACCACCACCACCACCACCACCACCACCACCACCACCACCACCACCACCACCACCACCACCACCACCACCACCACCACCACCACCACCACCACCACCACCACCCATAAGTTTGCGAAAACATCATGAAACAAAGAAACAAAACTTTGTCCACATGAATGGTTTCGCTTCGGTGCATGACCCAGGCCGCCCAGGCCTTATCGATGAGCTTCTTGCTCCACGCCTGCGAAGGCTATGTGGCTCCAAGCGTGCCCATGGTAACGGGAAGCACCGAGGTGGCTTCCCTCCCAACAAATTGCAACGTGCCAAGTATTCGTTGCCAGCATGGAACAACCAACGCTCGTTGGTGTGAACATGTGAGAAACAGCTCTCGTTTCATTGGCATGTCAAACAGTTCATAAGGACATTGAAACCATTCGAACAAATGCCATCTGTACAAAGCTAGTATCTGATCTGGTGGCCTTGGCCATCCACCAATCGGACATCGAAACACAGACACACACACACCCAAAAAAGAAACGGGAAGAACAAAAAACAATAAACACACACAAAAAAAAACACACACACAGAAGGTACAGCTGGTGTTGTCCGTCTTCTCTCCAGCTACCGGAGTGCACTTTGCGAAGCAATGCATGTAAAAGTTCGCTGTTCAAGCTGCAGCTGCAAGAGTGTACGTACTTCGCGGACTGCTTCCTTCCGTACTCAACAGTTACACTGCTACACTTTCCACGCTCCAGCTGCGGGAGTGCCCTCCCCATAACATATCGCCAGGGGTGTGCAGTTGAACTTCGTCCCTATCTGGTAGGCTCCGTGCTCGCAAATATCCCGTGCACATGTCCAAACTCCAAACAAGAAGCCAACGACTGGTTCCTAGACCCTCAACTTATCCACAACAATGGGATATTGCCCCGAAATCGAGGTCCGTCCGACCGCAAAGATTTGAGTGTGATGTGAAATTTGATGGGGACCCTAGGTGGATGAAAATCATTGTAAGTCGAGAATTATGTCCACAATCACTCTTGAGGTGGTTCCCTACTGCACTTCACAGCTATTTGCGAAGCGACTTGGAAGTCTGTGGCTGAATTGCTTGCAGATCCGAATGGTCACAAGGTCCACGTGTCTCCTTTCAAACCTAAGGTGAAATCATGGTACCTGGAGGCACACCCCTTGAGACACACCCCTCGTGGTCGCGTATCTGAGTTCTGTTCTCCGACTCCAGGCATCGCTGGCCAAGGCAGCCCGGCACTTCGTAGGTCAAGTCCTGAAGCTGACTTCATTCTCTATCTGGGTGCTAAACAGTCTGAACAAACATGTCGCTTTTGGTCTCCCTCAAGGGTAAGCCGTAAACAAGTAAAGGCTATTTAGCACCCAGCGATTCATTCGACCTCACCATGTGCCATGCATACCGCGCACCCGCACCCCGGGCCTCAGAACGCACGGACGGCGAGCTGCTCAGCTAGCTGGCTCAGAGCAGGCCTGTCGCTTCGACAGGACCCAAACAAATCAGACAAATTGGTGAGTTGATTGAAAGCAATATATACATATATATATATATATATACATATTATATATATACATATTACATATACATATTACATATACATATTACATATACATACTATATATGAGATTGTGTCAGGCCTTATGCTGTGGTGCCTGACTGCGCTGTTTTGGATGCAGGAGGTTCCTCAGTCAGGGCACGGCAAGGTCGGCAATGGCAAGTCCTGAGGTGGAATAGTTTGGGGCGCTGCACGTGCTCCATCGATGTTACCTGGGTGTTGCACAGTCAATCCGCAAGATCCTTATGCCAGATGAGAGTTGTTCTAAAACACGTACAAATTGATTTGAACGACGCCCATCTGTGTGTTTTTCCTCCGGTTTGCCCTGGCTTTGAATCGTGAAATCTCCGCGAAAGCGCGGCCCAAACTTACAGCAACAATTGGCATGCGTTTACATCCTGTGCTTTCATAAGTAGACGCAACGGTTTTTGCTTTTTGTCTGCAGCGCGGAAGCTCTGCGGAAGCTTTGTATATGCAGCCGTTTGGGCTGAAGCTCCTCTCACGATTTACTGGGCGGTGGC